AATCAAAGGATGGACTTAATGTCGGCGCGACGTGGGCAGGTAGGGGGGGGGGGGGGCCTCTGGAGCTTGTTTGAACACGCAGAAAAGAGGCCCCAGTACGCCAATACGTGGTGTACAGTTTTCTGCTGACTTGCATGTCTTTCATTCTACGTGCGAGCCCGAACTAGAGACTTTCGTCTCCGTTTCTATTTGCTTGCGTTTTTCACAGCGGCATTAAGTCCATCCTTTGATGTCCGTCTCTTTCAATTGCAGCATCCAAGTAGTGACAGTTAGTTTGAACAGCGTAGACGTGCCAACGGAAGAAGAGGAAGTGTTACGTGACGAGAGCTAATGTCCTGTAATTACAGTGTCGTCTATTATGTGCCGCGTACTGATTATTGAGGGTGCATAATTTTCCGCAAGACATCATAAAACACGTCTAATTGAGTGAACAAGGTTTCACCTAATCTCTCACGTAGACTTATGAAGGAATCCAGGTTTATTGATTACATTTTGTATAAAAAAAAATCACCGTAATTTTGATATTTGGCTCCAATTGTGCCCAGTATGAGGATGAGAGAGAGTAGGCCACATGTATACAGTATATGTTTTGTCTCTTATTGGCCTTGTGGTCCTGTATCTGCAGTGGAGACTGAGCTGGTCCTAGCATCACTCATTTATTTGTAGGCCCTATATTTGCAGCCTCATGAAAGCCTCTCGAGTAACGACGACAGCTTTTTTGTTGCCGCTCCCATTTTTCAGAGGCCGTAAGAGAGAAACCTATTTAAACTTCTTCCCCTCATTAAGCCGCTGGGTGCATTTTTGCCTTTTGAATCTTTGTGCCTGCTTGTTTATTGAGCTTTTAGTTGACAAAGAACGGGCGTCTCCGCCTCTTCCTGTATCATTACCTCTGCATGTGTGAACGCACCGAGAGTCCTGGAGACATGGGGCGTATCTCGCTGTGGCCTTCTCTTCATCTCCCGTCCCTTTCATACGAGTCTGACGAGATGAGTCGAAGTGAACGTGATCATAGTCCCACGAGAAGATGAAGGGCTGTGCGAACGCTTTACTGTCTCTTGTGAGATCAAACTACGGATGAAAGGGAGGAGATGTTGAGAGTGGGAGACGCTGCTGAGGTTTGTCCTATAGGTGGCTAACTAGTTTTCCCGCCCATCCCCCTCCCATCTCTACTGAGATCCCTTCCTCCTGTTAATTGGCATGCTTTTGAAGCACAGTAGCTGGTCACACTCGCAATTACTTTATGAGGACTAGCCCCCCCCCCGATGCTGGTTGTCAATAAAACACAGTTGGAAAGTAACTAGATGTAGATTCACTCTAGAACTGTACTGTCTTTACATTGTTGCATCCTATTTCTACTCAACTCACCGCTTTCATTTTCGTGATATCATTGTTCCTCAGTTGAAACTACTTAACGCATCATGATTTAGTAAATAATCACCTGTCACAGGTGAGCTGCATGTTTGCAGTGTTTTGTGATTAGCAGAGTTAACGATAACATAGAAATCTTTTTGTATTTCCTACTATTAATTACGTCGAGTCCACTGTGTGTGTATGTACCCTATATTTGAACATTAATGTTTGCATGAAATGTACATTTTTATCACAGTTAATTGTTGTTGTGATTAATATCATCAGCCCACAAAGTCACAGGATAACTGACACGATGCACCTGTTTGTAGAGTCAAAGTGTTTCTTTTCACATTGAGATGTGCATTATTTGAAGGATCAAAAAGCTATTTACTCTGCTTTATGTTGACAGTTTGCACTTTTCTTTATGTGTCTTAAGAAACAGAAGCATAGATATTTATTAGACATCTGATGTAGATTGGATGCATGCTGGAGCTTTGTTGTTTAGCAGTTGTTTGCCTTTGTAGCTCATCTGCAGCTTTGTGGAGCTCTGAGGCTGTTGATGGCTTTAGCAGGCCTCCGTTTGGCTCCGTCTTCTCTCTGGCTGCTCTTTTCTAGTTGAGCTTCATGTTGTTGATGGTCTCTCTCTCTCTCTCTCTCCCTCCCTCTCTTTCTCTCGCTCTCGCTCTCACTTTCTGTCACCACACTAGAAAAGTCTAGGGTTCCTTCAGTGTGCTTCCACCAACTATGAGCAAAACATCACCAGACAGAGAAGCACCACTGGATAAACGACTGGGAATAGTAGAATAGTGGTTCTAGGAGACTGCAGCATTAACAAGGTCATTGCAAAGCATCTACATCACTGCTGACAGTGGAGTTAAGATCAGGTTTCGTGTCATGTTTCAGTCTACGGGCTCAATTTCTGCCGTTTTCCAGACGTGTGTGTGTGTGTGTGCGTGTGTGTGCGTGTGCTTGCGCGTGCGTGTGTGGAAAAAAGCAGCATTGTTCGCACATAGTACAACTGCTATTTTTACATCACAGATATTGTGAGCTCCTCCACAGAATGGAGCCCCGCAGCGTGCACTTCAACTTTTTTTATTTTTTTTTAAAATGCTGACAAATTAGTTTTTTGAGCATCATTATCAGTAACAGCTCGGCCTGTTCCGGGCTGTGCAGTGCAGCGAAATGTCAACCATCATTTCCGGGGGGATACAAATATTTTCTAAACCACGAGAGTACTTGTGCTGCATAATATTATCCTTATTATGAGGAATAGAAACACATGAAATACCGGTCAAGACTCTTGCCATCTCCTCCAACAGATGATGATGATATTTTTGTTTACTTTTTCTTCCCTCAGGTCCTCTCATTATTTCTCTCTTGCTTCCCACTTTGCAAATTTTTGATGTCCTTCAAATAATAATTTATATAACTTTGCCTCCCGATGCATGTTTACAGCTCCTCCTCACTTTTCTCTCTCTGAAACATGTTATTTGTGTGTTCTCAGTGCTCTCCATCTCTCTGTCTGATAATCAAATTGTAGTTGATCAACTACATATTGATGTTGTTTTTTTTATAATTCTGTTTTCAGACTGCCAAAGGCTACATCCTGTTGTTTGATGTGCTGGGTAGAGGGGATGACAAATCCCTCTATGAGCCGGTCTATCCAAAGTGAGTGCAGCACACATTTAAACTCTCATACACGTTGATACACACACACACACACACACGTGCTGAGGTGAAGTGAGCAGAGGGGGCCGAGCTGTAGCGTGCTGGGAGGCTATACCATCAACATTATTTTAAATATATTTATTATTATGTTTTATGTTCTGTTTTATCAGTCTTGAATGTTAGCATGTATACAAAACACAGCACAACATTATTTCTTTGCAGTTTGAATTGGTCAGTTAAAACAGTCGATGCCGTGTTATTACTGCAAATGACGAATTATAATGACATTTTATAAACAATTATCAAATTTACTTATATAAACACGCGTCAGCTGATTTTTTCCCTTTCGTGATTGTTTGCTTGCTGCAATCAGCCGGCTCATGTTGTGTTTGCTCTGGACTAAATATGTAATTAATAATCCGCTGGGGTTATGTGGTTGATAAAAGCAGGGAGGGACATGTTACTGCTAACTGCTGCAGCTATCCCTGTTTGTTTTTTTTAAAGTGACCATTACACTATACACACTCCTCTGGTTATGCTTTCCAAACAGCCCTTGACCAAACGTACACAAAAGTATGTGCATAGGGGGTGTTTGCACACTTTTCTCTCTTCCTCTCCTAAAGCCTTCTGTTAGTGTGCTGTGTATCGAGTGTCCATGTAATGTATGTGTGTGTGTGTGTATGCGTCTCTTTCACATTCCTCGACAGCATGCCAGCAGAGGTCAGACAAGTCGGGGCGTATTCAGTGATGTTTTTCAGCTCCGATTTGCACTTTGGGATTTCAACAGTTTTCCTGGTACATCAGTAAAAATGAATTAATGTATTTGTGTGTTTTCACAGAGGAAGTCCTCGTGTGAGGGTGACCCCGGGGTACAAGGAGGAGCAATGTGCCCCCGCTTTGTCTTTAGAGATGAAGAAGCCCATAGACCTGGAGGCCCATATAACCAGGTAGGCAGAAGTCTTATCGTCCTTTTTATCTCTTTCTGTCTCTCTCGCTCTCTTTGTGTTTCTCCCTGTTGAGTCTACCTCTCCCTCATATAGACGGCAGCTCACATTCACAAAGACCTACACACGCTGAAACCACCAAAATACATGCTGCTCACTGTGTATCTTAATGCGAGCGCACTGGTAATCATGTTTTAACCTGGGTTCTCCGACTCCTGAGTCCAAAGACATGCAGCAGGTTGATCGATGACTCTAAATTGCCCGTAAATGGTCGTCTGTCTCCATCTGTCAGCCCTGCGATAGTCTGGCGACCTGTCCAGGGTGTTCCCTGCCTTCGCCCAATGTCAGCTCGCCCCCTAAGCGGTTAAAGATAGCGGATGGATGATGAAATGATGACGGAAGGAACAATTTTGATATCAGTGTTTGCTGGAGAGTAACTGGTTCAAATCAGCCTCATGCGTTTTCTGGACGGTGTTTATTCACATGATAAACAAGGAGATTTCATTTTAGTGAGATGGATCGCTTGTCAGCAACATAAAATGATATTTGGAGGAATTCGTTCCTTCACTGTCTCTGAAGAGGATTTCTACATTTTTAAATCTGCATTACCTGTGTGAAGACTGGTCGATTGTCAAGCCTCTGCCTGTTTTAACACACTGGGCTCAGGTCTGCAAGCTGTAAAAACAAACAAACAAATAAATAAATAATAATATTCTTGATGAGAAGAAATAACCAAAGCCAATGAACAACACTGGAGTCTGTCAGATAAGAGCCATTCTACCTTTCTACTTGTTTTTCTCCTTTGTTGTTAAGTCTTTTGCTAATTTCAGTCCTTTTCTTTAGTTTATTTTTCCTTCTAGTTTTCCACCTTCCTTATTATCCTCCCCGCATCCTCCCAACTTGACATCTTTGTTTGCTGAGTGACAAGAACTTTTCTCCTCCACTTTCTTTTTGTCTGTATTTTTTATTTATATCGTCTGCATCTTTCATGTCCTCGTGTTCATCCGTCACATCTCCGATGTGTGCGCTTGACAGAGATTACAGGGCAGCCGTCTGAATGAAAGCGCTCACGTTGGCATTTCAAAGGCACGGCTTGATTGTGCAGGAGATGAGTGGGGGCACCTCCTGCTGTGAAACTACAGTAAAAGTTGTTGCCTCCTCCTCAGCTTAAGTCCACTGTGCTTGACACCCTCAACTTCCTTTCATTTCTTTCATTCTGACGCCCGCTTTTTCTCCTTTTCGGTTGTCCCATTGTGCCATCGTCAGTCTGAGCCCTGTCATACTTTTTGATAGACAATGAGGCACTTCACACACACTCGCACAAACGCACTGTTATGTGGCCAGTAAAAGTTTCAGGCCCCACAGCTGGATGATGACTAGTCCACTGTTTTCTAACACTGCTGTTTATCTCGTTCCCCTCTCTTCCTATCGTCCCGTCCCTGCCTGTTTTATTTCCCCCGCCTCCGCCACAGTTTCTTTCCTGTCTGTTGGACCTCGATGCTCATTTCTGTGTCGTTTCTTCTCCCCTCCCACCAGTCTGCGGTCCCTTCAGGAGGACTTGTTGGTCTGCACCGCAGACGGCTATCTCCATGTGCTGCACTGGGACGGGCTCGGCAGCAACGGACGCAAGGCCATCTGCCTCACTACGATCCCCTTCTCGCTAGACCTGCAGTCTGCCCGAGGTTAGAGGAGACCCGTGCACACAGCAAACCACAGGGGAAGAGAGCAGACATGATAGTTGACAGTGTAAACAGAATCACTCTCTAATGCTGGGAAATAAATTATAAATATAAGGTTGTCTGTTCAACTATTCAAAGTTGAGTTCTTTCAAATAACATCCCTGATAGAAACACGTACATGTTTTGTCTGCAGCAGTCTTCTTTCTTTCTTCAATGTTTTTGCTTAACTTCAGTTCCACATTCAGTTTTATTGTTGCATAGAGTACTTCAACCTTTGTGTGTGTGTGTGTGTGTGTGTGTGTGTGTGTGTGTGTGTGTGTAGGTGGTCCCTCTCTAGACCTGGAAGGAGTGTATATCCGCAGTATGGAGTATTGTGTCACCCTGGATGGCTTTGCTGTGGTGCTGAGTGACGGACGCCTGGGCTTTATCACACCACTCAGCAACACCATCACCGCAGATGTAAGAATACACACACACACACACTGCCGGCGTTACAACACACAAAGTGTACCGAAGATCAATACTCAGATATTCAAAAATGTGTAATAGTTATTGCATTGAAAGGCTGATGAAAGTCACTGATTCTGATGTCCCGGTCAACAAGCTTTTAGATTTTCTTGCCATGGCAGCGCAGTGATTTTAATTCATATCATGATCATATGATTTAATACAGGACTCACGGACATTGCTTTATCTTGGCAGTGTTTAAACAGTAATGACTGTCTCTGTAAGATATCTATCTCTGCATCTAAAGAGGAGCTCACAGTAATATTTTGGCGAGAAATGAATATGATGTTCTTGAAATTGGAAAGTGGGTGTTGTTGACTCCGAGATATAAATGTTGTATTAAAATCGTGACCAAGCTGATGATGTGTGTTTATTCTCAGCTGTCAGACGTATCAACACATTTAAAGTTACATTTAAATGATGTGTTTAAAGGAAACCGCAGTTAAAACATGCTTTGCTGACCTGCAACTGCCATCATTGCACACATTCAGTTATTTATAATTCATAAATGTTCCGTGTGTGTGTGTGTGTGTGTGTGTGTGTGTGTGTGTGTGTGTGTGTGTCCAGCAGCTGCAGGGCGTCTGGGCAGCAGATGTGAATGATGGCACCTGTGTGGCTGTCAACAACAAGTACAGACTGATGGCCTTTGGCTGTGCCAGGTACGTGTCTGTAACTGTCTCTCTGTCCAAATCTTTACAATACGGTGTCGGGAAGAAAACCTAGGTGTGTGTGTGTGTGTGTGTGTGTGTAACACACGGATGCAGACCCAGAGATAGATTGTTGTCCGTGTGGTGTGTGTCCAGTGTGAGAATCTGTCGGTTTGTGTTTGCCGAGGCCGACCTGGTGTGTGCTTGTCAGAATCTCCCAATGGATTGTGTAACCTGTCGGGTTGGATGGACTTTCTCTTCGTCACTGCTCCCCCCCCCCCTCTCATTCATCGTTTTGTAATAAATAATTTCCTATCACACACAACACACACATATTGTGTTACTACACAGTTTATATTCCCCTGGGCAACAAATGATGACAATTAAACTGTTTGTTTTCATTACAGCGGCTCAGTGCTGGTGTACATGATAGACACCACGACAGGATCCATGCAGCTCTCCCACAAACTGGAGCTCACCCCAAAACACTACCCAGGTATCCCAGCATATGCTCCCCATCTCTCTCTCCTCTGTTCTTCTGTCTCTCTGTATCACACCCCTGCACAGATTCCTCCTTGAGAAAACTTGCATTCCTTCAGCTGTGTCTCTTGGGTGCACATGCCTGTGTTTCCCCTTTTTGTTACATCTGTTTCAGTCAGACTGTAATGGGATTATCTAAAGCCAGAGCTCCCCCTAGTGGGGGAGCTGCTGTGAAGGCCCATTACTGTTCTAACACTGAATGAGTTTCTAGACCTTTATAACTTCTGAACCTTTATAACTTCTCCGCATTATTTTCCTGTTCAGACATCTACAACAAGACGGGCCCAGTCAAGTTGATCTGCTGGTCACCTGACTACAGCGTGGTCATGGTTACATGGAAGTGTGGCGGCCTATCGCTGTGGAGTGTCTTTGGAGCTCACCTCATCTGCACTCTGGGAGAGGACTTTGCGTAGGTGGAAACACACACACACACACAAATGCACGAGTACACACTCAACATTTTTCTTGTTTTCATGTATCTTTGCACGTTTTGTCCTCCCCTCAGGTATCGTTCTGATGGTACCAAGAAGGAACCTGTTAAAATCAGCTCTATGGCAAGTGGATTTATTTCATTCTGTCCCACCGTCTACATTTAAACTTAAAAAGGACATTTGAATATAAAAAGAAATCCGTTGGCAATGTTAAAAGCACACATGTGGTCATGTTAAGATTCAGCACCCTCTTAATCCTGTTGTTTACAAGCACGTTGCTATTCATTGAAGTGGAACCGAGGCTGTGTCTTGCATATTCTCCACTCATTGGTAGTGTACCTGTTGCATGTAAAATGTATATTTGTTACCATTGCGTGCATAATGACTGCCTTCCACTCTGCCATTTCCAGAGCTGGGGAGCAGAGGGCTACCACCTATGGGTGCTCCCTATCAAACAGGAGAGGAGGAGGCAGCAGCAGCAGCAGCAGCAGCAGGAGGAGGAGGAGGAGCAGCAGCAGCAGCAGGAGGAAGAAGAAGAAGAGGAGGAGGAGATGGCCACACCTCCTCACCCCTCCCTGCAGGCCGGCATACTGCAGTTCCACTTCATCAAGAGTGCCCTGACCGTCAACCCCTGCACGGTGAGAGAAAACGTATTGTCAGGTGTTTTGTGTGAATACACACAAACGCAAACGCACACAGTGAACACTCATACTCCGTTTGTTCCTCTGTCGACTGTACAGAGTAACCAGGAGCAGGTGTTGCTCCACGGTGAAGACCGCCTCTACCTGACCTGTGGCGACCCCTCGCAGGTCCACAGCGCCTCCGACACGCACCCGCACACACACTTGCACCCACCCGACGGCAGCCCGCCGCACCAACCCCCCGACCCCGACTCCTCTCTCTCTCAGGGACTCAGCACTTTACTGGGACACAAGCACTGGCATGTGGTCCAGGTAAGCATGCACGCAGGATGTCGTCACACCTTGTTTGGGGGAATTTATGCAACAGTGATGAGAGTTTTGAAATATTACTTGGTAGCTCATTGTATTTCACTGCAGCCTCAGGCCATTGTGTAGCATCAGCAATAGAGGCTTTTATGGCTGTGATTACTTTCATTATTAAAAAAAACAATCCATCAAATATTCAATTTAATCTACAAATGATCTCATTTGAAAAGCAGGAGCCATTAAGTTTTACGATTAATCCATTATCAAAAAAAAAAAAAGGTTTTCTGCAAACTTCCAGTGTGAGATGGAGCTCCAGCTGCAATGAATGTAAACCACTTTGGCACTGAGAGCAACTCCATCTGCTTGGTAATGTTTTCTGGATCATAAAAGAGAACCCTGTGATGACTCTGACAGATACAAAGAAGCAGTCGATACTGTTAACAGCTAATGATGCTCGATACCGCTCACATCACCAGGGAGCTTTATTCAACAAATGCCTCAGTCGTGTGTGTGTGTGTGTGTGTGTGTGTGTGTGTGTGTGTGTGTGTGTGTATAGTTCAATGGATATGAACTATAGTGGATTATCTTGTATTTCTCATCTAATTTTACAATTCTTCTAGATTCACAGCACATACCTAGAGAGCAACTGGCCTATACGGGTGAGTACGAGAACGCGCATCTTCGCTCAGACTCCAGGTGCTGCTATATTCCTGTGTTTACTAAGCAAACTAATTTGGCTGTGTTCACAAGTGTGTATACGTAAGCAGAATTATCATCATACAAGTGTGGGAGCTCGAAAAAATCTACACATAGTTTATAGTAAAAAAGTGTTTCCTTCTCTTCTTGGAGAGCTTGAGTTTGGTCCAAAAAAGTAGCCGCTGTGAGCCTTTGAAGCCCATTTCTTGTCTGATAGGTGGCTCTACGATCAACAAACAGGACAAGCGCTAGTCAATAAAAATGTCTATAAAACTGTTTAGTTTTGTGTGCGTGTGTTTGTTCTCTGTGTAAATAGTTGACATTCTATTGTTTGCTTTATGGGCGTGTGTGTGTGTGTGTGTGTGTGTGTGTGGGCAGTTTGCAGCCATAGACACAGCAGGCCAGTGCATGGCTGTAGCAGGGAGGCGGGGCTTTGCACACTACTCCTTATTCACAAGGAAATGGAAGCTGTTTGGAAACATCACTCAGGTTTGTGACATTGTAGACTGGAGGATAACGAACAGAAACATTTTTTAGGGTTTTAAGTTTTGTTACTTTAGTGTTATTGACGAGGTAGATATAGTTAACGTGTGTTTGTGTTTGCGTCTGTAGGAGCAGAACATGAGGGTGACGGGAGGTCTGGCTTGGTGGAAGGACTTTGTGGTGGTTGCCTGTTACAATTATATTGACCAGCAAGAGCAGGTAAGATGGAGGCCCCACCTCTCATGAATTCCACGATTTCTTTCTTTTTACCGTGATTCGAGTTGGTCTCGTTGCAACACTCCCCTCTGTTCTCTCTCCGTTGACACCAGCTGAGGCTCTATCAACGCTCATCTAACCTGGACAACGCCTTTGCATCCGTCACTAAGCTGCACTCAGACACTCTGTTGCTCAACGTCTTCAGAGATATGGTCATCGTGTTCAGAGCCGACTGCTCCATCTGCCTCTATAGCCTAGAGAGGAGGAACGACGGGTGGGCTCCCGTGTACACACATTACACATCCAGTCTTAACTTAACGCCAACATTCTCTGGTTAAACTTGATACTGTTCTGTCTGTTACATCGTCTAGTGTTAATAAACAGATTTAAGCCAGCTCCAGATGCTTTAAACTTTGTCAGTAATGTAAGGCTTTTTTACCAGTCAGGTACATTGAATATATTGAATTAAGGAACCTACCTAAATATTTAAGTAAACTGCATCGAGTTGTTTGTTGTTCAAAGAAAATGAGATTCTGCTTAACAGTAAAATACTGTCGCCTCTCACACTGAAAGCTTTTTTCAAATACCTTTAGAGTTTAAGTCTTAGTTCTAGTTTTTTTACATGGAAGTCATGATGTATATGTTTACCTCTATTCAGTCCACACCCGACAGCCAGCGTGGAGTTGCTGCAGGAGGTGTCAATGTCTCGCTACATCCCTCACCCGGCCCTCGTGGTGTCTGTCACACTCACCTCTGTGCGCACAGAGACTGGCATCACATTGAAAGCCCCGCAGCAGGTAACACACACAGACACACACACACTCTGACTGACCTATACTGTCTGTAGGTGCATGTGCGTTCATACTTTATCTGTGTGTGTCCATCTCAGGCCTGCATGGCAGAGAGCATCATGTTGAATCTGGCTGGCCAGCTGATCATGCTGCAGAGGGACCGTTCAGGGCCGCAGGTACGGGAGAAGGAGACGCCTGCCAACAACAAGAAGCTGGTGAGTCCAAACAACACGCAATGCAGCAGTGACATGGTGTCGAGTTACAAGTTGTGTTGTGCACCAGTTCTTCAAGTACCTATGACACTTTTTTTTCTCCCCCAGCTACCATTTTGTCCCCCAGTGGTGCTGGCCCAATGTGTGGAGAATGTGTGGACCACCTGTCGCTCCAACAGGAAGAAGCGCCACCTGCTGGAGGCCCTGTGGTTGTCCTGCGGTGAGGCCGGCATGAAAGTGTGGCTGCCGCTGTTTCCCCGAGACCATCGCAAGCCCCACTCCTTCCTTTCCAGGCGCATCATGCTGCCCTTCCACATCAATATCTACCCTCTGGCCGTGCTGTTCGAGGACGCCCTGGTGCTGGGGGCAACCAACGAGACTGTGCTCTATGACGGGCTGCAGGGAGCCTCTGAGCCCCTGGAGGCGCTGTTCCCCTACTGCACCGTGGAGAGGACCTCCCAAATCTACCTCCATCACATCCTGCGGCAGCTGCTGGTTCGCAACTTGGGTGAACAGGTGTGTGGAGCGTCCCGTCTCATCACCTCCGCTTAGTAAAAGAATGATGGTGATGGTAAGTACCTGAACTGAGTCCATTCTTTCCACTCCTTAATGTTCTTTCTCTCCCGCAGGCTTTGATGCTGGCTCAGTCATGTGCCTCCCTCCCTTACTTCCCTCATGTCATGGAGCTGATGGTGCACGTCGTGCTGGAAGAAGAGGCCACATCGCGGGAGCCCATCCCCGACCCTCTGCTGCCCACCGTGGCCAAGTTCATCACAGAGTTCCCCCTCTTCCTCCAGACCATCGTTCACTGCGCCAGGAAGACGGAGTACGCCCTGTGGAACTACCTGTTTGCCGCTGTGGGGAACCCCAAAGATCTGTTTGAGGAGTGTCTCATGGCTCAAGACCTGGACACAGCAGCCTCGTATCTGATTATACTACAGGTAGCGACACACTGACGCTACATGCACATAGTCGGTTAGCTTTTCGTAGCATGATGCAGGCGTTATTAGACGTAATCAGCCTAGGACGGAAGTATTAAAATCATTGTTCATACCTGACTAAATGTGATTAGGGTGTCATGATGTCATAAAATGCTCACATGGTCTCCACCGGTCTCTTCCATCTTTCTTCTCCTCTGTCCCTACTCTGTAAAGAGCATGGAGGTCCCAGCAGTGAGCAGACAACACGCCACTCTACTCTTCAACACGGCGCTTGAGCAGGGCAAGTGGGACCTTTGCAGGCACATGATCCGATTCCTCAAAGCCATCGGCTCCGGGGAGATGGATACTCCGCCCCCAACGCCCACCACACAGGTAGAGAACTTAAGATAATTTCTACAAATATGCATTTCCTCTGCTTGCCACTTGTCTTCAACTTTGTCTAGGAAAAGTTACAAGCAACTTCCTGCTGAAACAAATATATTCATTAAGGATGCCTTCATCATATCAGTACTTGAAAGCACACAAGGAATGTGTGTAAATGATGTTTCAGATTGATTTGTCGTGAAGAGATGACTCACAGAAACACAGCACAAGCACTTCTTAGCTATGCTTGATCTAGGTCTGAAAGCCCAGCATGCTTTGTACTCACAAACAGGTGGTTGAGCTCTCGGTCTCAAAAAGGCCCGTAGCCCCGGCTGAAAACAGGAAATAGTGAGCTGTGTATCTCTGTCTTTAGGAACCCAGCTCAACTGGCGGTTTTGAGTTCTTCAGAAATCGCAGCATCAGTTTGTCACAGTCGGCAGACGCCATCGCTACGGGCAAGTTCAACTTGCAGAAGACCTTCAGTATGCCTTCTGGACCCTCTTCTAGAGGGTATGGACACACACACACACACACGGTAACAAAGATTTTGTCTTCCTTAAAATGTCCTCACCTAAACATCTCTCCATCCTGTGTTTGATTCCTGTCAGTCGGGACGGGGAGTGTCCGGAGAACATGTACATTGACATGATGCTCTGGCGCCACGCCCGCCACCTCCTGGAGCAGGTGCGCCTCCGCGACCTCGGTTGCTTCTCTGCACAGCTGGGCTTCGAACTCATTGGCTGGTTGTGTCGCGAGCGAAACCGGGTGGCTCGCGTTGAGGACTTTGTCTCTGCGTTGAAGAGACTCCATAAGGATTTCCTCTGGCCCTTCCCTGTCATTCCCGGGGGAAGCATCAGCTCGCCTCTGAAGAACGGACGCTGTCGCACAGGTGAGTGACACAGGATTCATGCAATACAGGTTAAAAATGAACCTGTTCATACATAATTGACAGCATCAATAAGTACATTATTAACATTAACATGTGAACTGGGGTTTCTGCTGACCACAACACTTTTGGCTCAATCTCAATATTTCATTTTTTTTGTTGCTCTTAAGTGCTGAGCACCCGGCTGTTGAAGTCGCAGTCAGCTGACAGCCTGTTGAACAGCGACATGGACACAGCGCCCCCTCAGGCAGCTTCCAGCAACAACACCTGGCTGGATGGGCTCGGGCAGAGGTCCAAAGACATGGACGCGGCCTCGTCCTCTCATTCCAACCAACACTCGCCACAGACGCACGATGCTTTCCTCTCTCTGCTCACCAACAAAGGTAATCAGGCTCGAACGGTTAACCCCTGCAGTCACCAGCCTTCAGTAACCCTCCTGAGGACATGCTGTTGTCTTTTTTTCTGTCTTATTTCCCCTCTGCCTTTTCCCTCACCCCTCCAGTGGAAGAGTACAGCGTCGGCTCTGCCACAGACTTGACAGAGACCAGCTCGGTGGTGGATGGCGACTGGACGATGGTCGATGAGAACTCGTCCACGCTGAGCCTGAGCCAGGCCGAGCTGGAGCACATCTCCATGGAGCTGGCCAACAAAGGCCCGCACAAGTCCCAAGTGCAGCTCAGGTGAGACAACATCCCTCCCCCAAACCTCACTTCCACGATCCCACTGCAGTGCTTTGATTCAATGTGAAACCAAAGCCAGTACTTGACAGCCGTGCCTCTCTTTGTTTCCTTCAGGTACCTCCTTCATGTGTTCATGGAGGCAGGCTGTCTGGAGTGGTGCGTCGTGATTGGTTTGATCCTACGGGACGCCAACGTCATAAAGCAGGTGATCGGCTTCCTGGACAGCCCAGAGGTTCCCCAAGACACCGTGCAGAGCGTCCAAAGCGGCTTATTGGCCGTCGACACGTGGGTCTCCACTGACTGGTGGGTGTGGCTTTAAAATGTTGTGTTTTTTTATACTATGACTTTTATAACATTTGTAATGACATTTTGTATGACGCACTAAACTATGACTATTTTGTTAACATCATTGGTTGATCAGCTATCATCACAAACAGGACAAAGGCATTGTAACACAGGGAGTTTTTTCAATGTGGTTTGCTGTTTTGTAAAAGTGAAGCGACATGTAAAGGTGAACAACGCTGTACCGAGCTTAACCCTCCTCTCTCCTCCATCGCTCGTCTTTTTTTTCCAGCCTCGGGTACAAACCGTTTCTAAACCTGATCCAGCCCCAGCTTCAGGATCTGATGGATTCAGCAGCTGAGCAGGTGCAGCCCGAGGCCTTCCAGCCCAGCAGCCAGAGCTCCAAGCTTGGCGGCTCCGAAGGGCCGGGAGGTGCTGCGGCGCCTCGGCCGGAGGACGGTAGAGGAGCGACGGCTCCGCTGGGCCTGGCCCTGCCCTCCCTCGAACCCGCCGGAAGTTTCCCCCGCCCCCCTTCTGAGGACTGTCCTCCTGAACAGACGGAGGAGCTGGGAGAGGACGAGGGAGCCTACGACTGCACCTTGTCCTGAAGCCTCCTCCGGACTCGAACCTGTGAACTCGAGGGAAGGAAAGGAGGAGGCAGCAGCAGTTGCTTGCCCAAAATATACGTGTGCGCGCGTGTGTGTGTGTGCGTGCGTGCGTGCGTGCGTGCGTGCATGCGGAAAGTACCTCTCCTGCAGGTTCTTACATCGGTCAGTATTATCCACTCTTCAGATTTGCCTCTTGTTTTGACTGGAACTCCTGTGGAAGCCCAAAGACTCACACAACCAGTGACAGGCTCTTCTCTAACAGGCCACCTATGTCAGTTTGTGCAGTTACACATCATGTTGTGGTGCTTGGAAGCTGTACACCAACACAGGAAAGGCTACCAGGCTTCTTTTTTTTTTTTTTATTACAAGGCAGATGTTTTGTGTGCGGAACTTTTGTTTGGCACTCATTCAAGTGCAACTGGAGACTTTGGAATGTCCTCTCTTTGTCCAGACAAAAACCTCAATTGTTTAATGCAAAAGGTGCAAGAATCAGTTCAAAGACAACGGAAAAACAAACCTGAGCGTATTGGCATCATGCTACATTGTAGAACAAAGAGGCGTTTCATACTTTCATACCTCATGATTTCAAAATATTTTGTGATACCTTTTTCAATAATGTAACGGTGTACACGATAACATTATTTTTCTATCAATTGCACCGTGTCCCTGGAGTCTCCCTGTAAAAACTAAACTGGTATGAATTCTATGTAGTTCTTGAGAAGTGACGACCTTAAGATTTCTAAGAAAATGATCTCTGAGAATAATCCACTGTTGTGAGTGCAGACTAGTTTCTTACCTCTGAGCCAGAATCAGCTCGTCTGATCTTCTTCATGTGGTCCAGAGTTTAAGACAACAAGCAGATCAGTGTTAAGCCTTCCCGGGGTGAGCAGATTTACGGCCGTACTGTAGTGCAGTGAAGGCAATATAAAAACCAAATCATGAAACTTTATCCAGCTTTTTAAACACACGTTTGGGTTTCAGTCTCCATCCTATCTTCGGCTTTGCAAATTGTTATTAAAGCCATCCTACGTAGTCGATTTTTACCGATCCCTCATCGAAAGAGCATCATCTGACCACCTCTGACACGTCGGCACCATTTTTAACGTGAGGGTGAGATTGATTTAGTCGTCGCTTTGGCTGCGTGTTGTGATCTTCTATTTAATCTGGCCCAATATGCACATCACACCCCTGAACTGCTTGCGTCAATGAGTACCGATTTGTGTGCTTTTCTTTGTGGGACTCTGAATATGTTTACCACATCGTGTCGACATGTTTGGTGACTTCCATCACATGCAAACTGATTTTATAGTATTAGTGCTTGTTATTATTACCATTATTTATTGGCATCATAGCGGAGTGGTAATTGCTGACTTGGTTCTCAGTTGGTTTTTATGACTGATAAACTTTTCCCCCTTTCTTTAGTTAATGAATGTCGTGTCTCTACTGCGAGCACTAAAAGGTTCATCACAGATATGTCAGTATTATATTGTGCAATGTATCGAAATGTTACTCAGCTTTATTTCTTATGTTCACTACTTTCCCCCCCGGCTGTTTGCTTATGCGTTCCACGATAGACCAAATCATATTTTATAGATTCATATTTGTTTTTGCTCTCTTGCCGGGTGTGGTATCTGTTGAAGTTTTCGATTCTTCGGTGGTTTCTGTTTTATGAAAATCTGTATTGTTGGAACTCTTTACTGTTCGGGCAAAAACGACGTGTCGTCGTCACTCGGCATGCTGTCGGGCCAGTCTCCGCTCTGAACAAGCCTACAGCCACACTACGCTGCTCCGCTGTAAGCTTCGACTTGAATAAAAAGGTAACGCGACGAACCAAAGACTTTAACGTCCAGAGGCCTTCTGTTTTAAACCGGTGGAGCGCTTGACTTATTATGCAGAGGGGGGGGGGAGAACCATCTATCTCCCTTACCCCATCGGAAACATAACCATGGATGCATACGAGACAATTTCCTACGGAAATGAATATTGCAGATGTTTTTTTTTGTTTTCCATCTCTCGGTCTCGTGGTACTCGGGTGTCGCGCTCTGGACGGCTCTCCCTCCCTCCCGTGCACAGTGGAGACGTTTTATTTCTGTGGGTGGCAGCAGCAGCAAAACATCCTCAATGCAGTGTAAAGATACTCTCTTGTACATTTGCCTTTTCTACTCATGGTTGGTTTTCTACTTCATTTTTTTCTTTTCTTGTACATAAAGACCAATAAATTATTTTTTAAAATGTAAGTTTGCCTATATTTCTAATTGTAATCTGATCTGTTATGTACATGGAAGCGAAATGACACGTGTTGTAAATAGAACAATGGTAATGTAATAAACTGTTTTAATTGCTGTACAAGTGCTAATTTAATTCAAGCTTTTGTGCATATTTGTTAAATCGTCCCGTCCATTCAAACAGATGGATACCCTGTTATCAGATCAATTAATTCATATTGACAAGACAAATATGCAATAAAAAGAAAAACAGCAGTTTCAGGACTTGTTAAGTGTCAAATTAATCAAAAAAGAACATTTAAATTTAACTTTCAGTACAAAAACTGAACAGTTCAGAAATGGGCATGGGTGAAAAGTTTGACAAAAAAAAAAACAGTTCAGGTAACTTTAACAAAACTGTTAAGTTAAACATCTTTAAAAAACAACAATGGACATCCTTCAACAACAGGCATTAAGACATTTCAATGTGTATCCCAGAACAGATTTCAGTTAAACGGCTTCTTTCTCAAGCTGATATGAACATTTGTGTGAATTTGTTTGCTTTGTGGTGAAGATAAAGCTGTGTTTTTATACACAGAACAAAGACACACTGCGCAGTGTTTCATTAACACATTAGATTCTGTCTCAAACAATTCAAATGAACTTAATTGTAAAACAGGAGTTTGTTTTATTTACGTTCAGCTCTCTAGCAGAGCTCTGTGCACGCTTGGATGAGACGTCTCTCTGCTCCGCCCCACGTCTACAGCAGTCCCTCCTGTGTTCGTGCTTCTTATAAAAATAAACGCACCTCGTGTTATTACTATAAACAAAACTCTAAACAATATGGTTGTGTCAGATCTCTGCCACGACTTGAAATGGTTAGTGAAGAACTGGAAATATGAAATCTCTTTTAAACTCCTAGTTTTTCATGCTTTCCTTCAGTCTAGAACAAAACTGAAACACTGCCACTTTAACAGATTTTTTTTTAGAAAAAATATCCATTTACACGTAATAAAGCTTTTTCTCCCATAAACACTGCATATTAATAAAACAGATTTAAATCAGTCTCTTGTCACTTTAAAGCAGCGTTGGTGTCGTCGCCGCACAGCGCTGAGAGACATCTACATACACCCCCCCCCTTCTCTCTCCTCCCCCCTGTTCTGAAGCTTTCAGTCGTATCCCACGGTCTTCCTCAGCAGATGGAGCGTAGGCTACTTTAAGGACTTCTCGTTGCACACTGTGCATAAAGAGAAGGAGCATAGTAGGGCGACATGTTGTCGAAGGCTGTGGTGGATTTTCAGTTGAAACTTTCCAACAGACAACTCGTGTACAGTGCAGCACCTGATATCTTTAAGACCTCTGAGACAGTAAACAGTGTGTGTGTCTTTGGACGCAAAGTGTTAAGGCCTCCGTGTCATTTCTTATGTTGTGAGACTGACTACATGGATCACGAAGACACGACAACAAAGTCGCCGAAAAAGACAATTTTTGCTCAGTTGATCTCATCTTTACGACCTGATGATGTCACACATGGGAGGAGTCAAACTGCCAACAAGCAACCATGTGACAGTCGTTCACATTTTCATCTGAGTGTGGGACTCAACGCGGGGACGGTCACTCAGATGCGATTCAGATATCAAGGGAACCGTTCTATTTAGTCAGCAGAAAACAAGACGAACATAAAGATGCTTTATAATGCATCAAAACTAATCTCCCTCTAATGTCAGTTAGCTGAATTATTGAAATGGTTCCAACAGTAACATTCAAACCAGTCTCACAGCTGTTCTCGCGGTGTAGGACGTTTTGATCACTGTGGAGGTAGTGGTGACCCTGAAGGGGTCAGAAGGGCCAAGGGGTGAAAGGAGCAAGGGGTTCAACTTTTCCGTAGATCTCTTATTGGCACAACTGTTTCTGTGTCATCTCTTCCCCCCCCCCAGTCCCCCTCTATAACAGTCAGCTTTTTTACTCCCGACTCAGTGTTGCCAACATGTGGTACAATCTAGTGTAACTCAGTCCTAACTGATCCTTGGTGTGCTATGAGGTCGACTATGTGCAGTAGACACTTAAGAGGTCATATTCACTGGAATTATAGTTGTGCTACTTGGGCTCCAGACACCAAAAAAAAAAAAAAAGATGCAGCTCCATATGAGAGAAATATAAGAAATATTAGCAACAGTCACCGGTTTGAGCTGTCCGCAGCAGCACCAATGCATGGTTACATGGTCTGTTATCTGCAGCTGAGATGTAGAGTCACATAACTGGATCACCCTTCTTTCAGTAGATTTAATCATTTGGTTATTGAAATACATTCACTGGTGCTGTTAAGGACAGCTCTTGGCACGCAGCAGAGGTCAAGTTGGAAAGTACAGATACTTTCTACAGTAGTTGCAAATGTTAAAAACACCAAACCCCCTCCACCAAGCGGACCGACGCTTGTGCTATTAATGAGCGTGGAGTTGCATTGCTGGTTTTCCTCCCAGTCACCCACGAGGCTTGGCTAAGAATCTTAAAATCACAGGATATTCAGACGGCCACAAGTCCTCGTTTCCCTGCGAGTTCTCGTCTGATCGAGCCCAGAAATCAATACGCATTAGCTTGAACGCATCAGGCGGAAAAAGACTTCGAAATTGCCCTCTGCACAAAACGTTCATGACAGCTTAAGCCTTTTAATTAAGGACACGTTGACATTTTGATTTTAGCCAGCTGTTTTCCTTTGACAGTTTTCTGCCTCCGAGTGCCAGATTCTGACGATTTAAAGCACATGGGTACAACTTGCTGCAAGTCAGTGGTGTTATCGAGGAACGGTGAGCAATTTCAACCGTTTACACAAAAACTATCTGCTCAGATTAAAAAACGAGGGCGCGCTGATGAGAAGCAACTTTCAAAGTGTCAAAGTTTCCAGTTAAAGTCGGACGGTTCAAACTAGAAACGGCCCCCCCCCCCCCCCTTCCAAACAGATCCATCGCTACGTTCCTACACCGACAGACAGCGGCGGCTTGTCATTTCTGCCGAGGAGGCCGGCGACACATCTGGCCCGAATGGTTTGCCGATAAAGAGAGAGAGCAAGGGGAAGTAGAGACATGCGAACGAGATTGAAAGTGAGGAAAGGGAGCAAGATGGGATTGAAGTAAAGCAAAAGGCACAACAGATCGAGTACAAAAAGAAAAAGAAAAGTCGCCCCTTTTGTTTCACTTAACGCGGCAGTGAGCGCGAGGCTTGCGGTGGCCGGTGCGTCGGTCAGTTGAGTTAGTCAGTTTGTAAGCTCCGGCGTGTCTCGCCTCCTGCTCGGTTAGCTGCTAAGCCTACTCACACAGTGATGGGGGGTCTCTGAGGCAGGCTGGAAAGGGAGCGGGAATGTGTGTGTGTGTGTGTGTGTTGAAGCGTGTGTGTGTGTGTGTGTGTGTGTTCGTGTCAGAGAGAAAAGGCGTCGGGGCTCATCCTCGGCGGCTGTTCCTTGAAATATATTCTGTCAACCCTCAGCGCTTCTCGGGGCTCTCGGCCTCTGCGACGCGCGGCGTCCTCAGTATCGGTACATGTCGTAGGTGCTGACCCAAGATGAGGGGAAAGCCCACGTGGGAAACCTGCGGTGGATTTCCTCCAGCTGAGCAGTCCTACTGTCTTGCCCGAAGAAATAGTGGGTGGAGATGGCGACAGAGATCATCCCCTCGGGGCCTGATGGGTCCGGGTCCCTGGGAGGCTGACAGAAGAAGGGGGGGGGGGGGAAATCAGCAGATCAGCAGTTTTTCCAGGCTCGAAGACAAATGACAATTATGCCACATGTGTTTTAGCTTATCCGATGGATTTTAAAAGGACTCCTTAAAAAGGTCGTGGAGTTGGAAACTCAACCCGTGCAGTTGTTAATACAGATTAAAAGAAATCAGAGTTTAAAGGTTTTCACATGATGCTCTGTGTCCTACAGGAGCTTATCTCAGACAGACATCACTGACCGAGGCCATAAAGGGAAATTCTGCAGAAATTCAGACATGTGTGGAATAACAAGATTTACAATAATAACAAGATTTATTTAGAATAACAAGGAGCAGCAGAACATAATGATTTATAGAATATTGTGATCTGAAAATAATAGTTTGATGTGTTTGGAAACACACTCAGATTGATCTCATAGTATAATATGTCAAAAATAAGGCGTTCAAAATCATAATACAGTAAGTGATAAAAAATGTCATAGTACATCATAAAGAATGTCATGGTAAAAAAGTCATTATAGTGTGTCTACTGTGTTCCATGTACGATGCTATGTTCACATTTTGTGCCATTAATATTTTTCTCATTAATGATGTATTATTACATCCTGCCGCAACCCATCTGATCAATCAGATTTTAAATTTTCATGACCCAACCCGCCTGATCCGCGGTCAATCTGGTGCCCGCTGAATTAACTGCAATCCACAAATCCATAATGCGCATCTTGAATGAGTTGATGGGATTGCATTTGCAAGTTCTACCTTCCACTGTGGAAAAGAAAATCATTGATTGATGTATAGCATTGTCATCTGTCATGGTGACCGTAGACCTCCAAACTCTAATCAGTTCATCCTTGAGACCAAGTGGATGTTACAACAAGTACAGAGCGAGCTGCAGACATTACCTGGATTTCAAACCAGAAGATCCACGTGGGGGCGTCGAGGCCGTGGGAATAGAAGACGAAATATTCTCCGCTCAGGTCGAACTGAGGGGTCCCGTCCCCAAAGGACCAGGTGGAGAGGCTGGCTCCTCTGTGAGGCATCAGGTAAAGGGACATGTGGCTGGGACCTGCACACACACACACACACACACATCAGGATGAGATAAATGTATGCATCACACCATTGACACATCTGTGGCAGTGATTGTACTTTAATGGTTGAAGAACTGCTTGGCACCAGAAACCCCGAAACTGAATGTGTGGAAACTTCAACAGAAACTGAATGCACTTAACCTCAGACTCAATCTCAGTGCTGATGTAATCTCTCCATCCAGCTCTGCCTGTCCTGTCAGTAAATGTGCTTCTGTCATCAGCCAAGATTTGTCTGGACTGCAAATTGGTGTTGAGTTGCAAGACTTTTTTTAAATTGTTTTATCTCTGCCAGCAAATCCTAAAAAGAAGCAGTGTTGTTTCTTTTGGCCACATGAAGTGCTCCTGACCGTTCACACTGAATGTCATCTTGACCGTCCCCCAGCTGGTCTCCTCTCTGGACAGCAGGCTGAACTCCACCGGAGCGCTGGGAGACAATTCTGGAGCAGGGAGGTACCAGTTCTTCCTGCAAAGACACCGAAAATACTTGAGATGAGGAGGAATAATATAATACATGAAAAAAAATGCTGTCGGCTCCAAGGGCCGTGTCACTGACTTGCTGAGGAACTTCACAGGCAGGAACCAGGGGTAGCCGCAGAAGGGCCGGTCCTCTCGGCAGCTGGTGCGAATGCTGTCGTTGATCTCGGGGATGTCGGGTGTGACGTGCTGCATGCCCGTGTAGTCGAAACTGTTGATCCACACACCCGAGTCCTGGCTCTCCACCTGGCCCTGGAGATTGTGGAAGGTCCGCGTTGTATGCTGCAGGAGGGAGGATAGAACATGTTTCTATTTACTACTTCCAAGCACTCGTTTTCCCCTCAACCTGCCTTGCTCTACAGACGTTTTACAGAGAGAGTTTCTTAATCACTTCAGGGCGTTTTCTGTTATTTACATCAGCAGGTGGAGGATTGGAATCAGAGCACTTTCATCCAATCACAAAAACACATGGAGAGACATGAGAGTCGTGGTGTTCATCGTTCCAGTTACATATATAGGGGCTTTGTATTTCACCTGCTCCCTACAAGAGATGTTACTCATACAAGCAGGGGCTGCACTGCAGGATAGTCAGTTGAGCGGAAAGTAAAAACTCTAGCTACTTCTGCAGGAGCCGCATTAAAAGTGTTTATGTTGGGTCTTCCCCCACTATCAGTGTAACATTTTTTACAAACCTGCAGGAAGACTCGTTTTGGCCGCGGGCTGTCTGGACTGCCTGAATAAGGGAAGAGGAGGCCACAGGACATCAGCAGGAACATGAAGATGAAGACTGAGCCCAGACCAGCCAGGACCCACTTAGTGCTCCGGGCCAAGTAGATGAAATGCAGCTGAGACAGCGAGAAGAGAGATATAATGTGTTACTAAGGCACCGTCTACAAGGTTTACATCACATTTTACTGCCGCTCTGTCAGTCTACTTTCCACAGCTGTTGGTTTGCTTATCTGAAGTCAAACAATTCATGTCAATAAACGCCTCAAACAAAACAACAGTGTGGTCATGTGTATTCTGTCCTGTACACACTACCACCAATGTCACCAGTGTGACTTCAAGGTGAAAATGTAATAAATAAAGATATATACTCATTGTTGTGCATTGTGTTGGGAATACTCACGAAAAAGGAGGAGAGGAAGATGGTGGCCAGGGTGACCAGGGTGGCCATCACCACCTCGGGGGGTATCTCGGTACCGCTGCGCCCCATGATGGGCGTGAAAATCTCAAACACCACCCAGATGAGGAACATGAAGTGGACGTACGGCAACGCCAGGCCCAACAGATAGAGCACGCTGTACTTCAGTGATGCTCCTGCAGACAGATAGAGAGAGGTCAAGGGTCAGACCAGCAAGACAAGAAATGTTACATTCACTGTAAGTCGAGTGTTTACCTCTGTGTTTGAATTCTTTGGCCAGCAGCAGCCTGGTGGCCAGGGGGAAGGCCACCATGAGCATGGGCACATAGGCTGAACACAGGCCCTGCTGGGTGAGCCACACCAGGCTGCAGCACCACAGCAACAAGCTCACGTCAAAGTAGAGATCGCCCAGCTCCACCAAACGGACGCCCTGCGTGGAAAACACACATGCAGCAGCTCAACACCGAGGCGATACGCGCGAGACTCTATTTTTGGACTGTGTGTTGCTTTGATAGGGGGGGAATCAGATGTGCAATTGAGGAAAGAAATGTAAATTTTGCTTTAACTTTGGGATTAAACTCTGTTGACAAGAGACGAATGCTCCGAGGTCAGCTCGTACTCTTCACTCATCACATACGCAGCCTCTGAAATGCATCGCTTTAGTTAAATAAGAGCCTTATATACACATTACATGACTCGTGACTGTCGTGGATAAATACCGAACAGGAACAAAGAATCATTAATGTGACTTGGTACTTCCCGGTTTCTACAACAGGAACTTTACACCGTGGCCACAGTTGTATCATTATAGTTAAACTAAAAAAAGAACACTTCTATCAATGCAGGAGGAACTGGCTGACCTAGTTTACCAAACATCTCCTTAACAAAGCACAACATCCTACATTTACACAAGGCGGGGCTGCTTTTATTGCTTTAAAATGAAGATCCAGATCACTGCCTCACTTGGCACTCAGCTCCTCTCCCACATTGACTTAATGGTTTGCCAGTTTTTTTTTTTTTTTTTTGTTTTTAAAAAAAAAAAAAAAAAAAAAAAAAAAAGCTGGCAAAAAGAGTTCTAAAAAAATGTCCAATATTATATCCACTTTTACCACAATTCATAGTTAAATTATATCCAGTTTAATTTATCATTATTTATCAATATAAATGACCACATTTGAAACAGAATGGATGGTGTTGATGAAGCGATATACAGTGTTCTTATAATAAAGATTCTGTTTCATTGGAGATTGAGGTCTTATGTGGTCTGGCACAGAGGTTGGTCTGAGTCCTTTCTGGCCATGGAAAGCTGGAGTTCATATCGTGGTTAGCTTCAGATAAAAATACACTTTGTGATGTTTTTAATCTTAAAGAAACACTTATATTTACTACATGTCAGACATAAAATACATCAATGCAACTAGCTGCAACTAGCTGCAAGACATGTCAATAGGTTTTCAGCATGAGACACTATTTGGTGTTCTGAGAGACGACTGCGGGTCTGACATTTCTACAGTTGTTTAATCGAACACAAAGAGCTTCTGTTCTGACATCACAGTGAAGGAAGAGGAACTGTCTGGCTTTCCCCTCTCTGCACTTTAGTTCCCATTAAATGTGAGCTCAGAGAGTCCAGATGAGATATTAGGCTCCAGTAAATAGTGCCCTCAAACAATAAATAAAAAACAGTCTACACTGTGTTCAGAAGGAACTCTCAAATGTAGCAACATGTTTCATTCAACAAGAGGAATCGTAACATAAGTCAAGCTGGTAGACATTCTTTCAGACGCAAGATAGTAAACACTCACCTTTGGTCTAGACCTTTCCGGATATGCGCTTATTTGCTTTCTTGCCAAGAGTTAGATAAGAAGATTGACAACATGAATTCTCATCCCATATCCGTCCCTGTTTCATGAGGCTGGAACCAAGAGGTGGTTAGCTTAGCATAAACACTGGAGGAAGCAGTAGGTTGATTTTGTAGGGGGGGATACAGGCTAGCTGCATGAAAGCAAATAAAGCTTTTTCCCCAAAATGTGAAACTATACCTTCAAAGGAAGCCCTACAATAAAAACTCCACTTACTCCATAGTACAAGTTCTTGGCCAGCGTGTGAATGAGGATCATCTTGCCCGTGGCGGTGGCCCCGTACAGGCAGATTGCGGCGTAGAAGTGGTTGTACCAAAACATGGAGCGGCCCAGCAGAGTGACGAGCAGCGCGACGATCAGCACCGACATCAGTGTGACGAACCAGCTCAGCACCGCTACGCCTGTGGCGAAGGCCAGATCTCGAACATATCGGCCCCCTAAGAGAGATGGCGATGAACGGTAAATGAAGACCTGACACACAAGAAATACCTCATCAAACTCTTCTACAAAAATAATTTAAAAAGGTCAACTTGGATTTGGCCCCACGCGTTTGTTTTAGACTATTTTAATCCTACAGACAAAAAAACATTTAAATAAGACACACACACATCCAGTGCAGGAAATGACATCACATGCATCCAACACAGGAAAGGGAGACCTACCCCTGTTGCCTGGTAGCGAGGCTTTCTTGGCCAGATAGAGGAAGGTGGCTGCAGCTACCATGTAGTTCAGGATGGTGCCGACGCGGGCGGGGTACGCCACCACAACGACCCCCAGCAGGTCGAAAAATACCATGTTGCCATGTCGGTACTCTGAGGAATCTGCCAGCTTCTCTGACATCACCAGGTACCTCAGGACCGCCAGGATGTTGTCACCTGCAAACAGGAAGTGAGTTTCAAGGTGAAAAAGACACAATAAACCCATTTCATTTTAGCTGCATTGATTTCAGCAAAAAAACGGAGGCAGGACATGATCCGGCACTGTATGGGAGAATGCATGACGTCATGGACAAACTAGGGAGTAAATACTGAGTTTAGTCTATTGTGGTTTCTGGTCTACAATCAGAGGAAGGAAATGGTTAATATGACTGAATGTGAAAGTGATAACTTCATATGACAAAGAGAGACTCGTCCTTTATAGAGCCGACACATCACATGCAGCAGACGGTTTATTGATGACTCGGACAACCTTCTGACTACACTGAGGTAATGGCCTTTGACACTCCTGCACGGCCACCCAGACAGTATTTTAAGCCGCAATAAGACCGTGTGCATGTGAACACTAAATACTAAACAAGATACGAGTACATTCAGGCGTTTTGCTGTGTATTGACCCTAATCATCAGTTTGATTAAATGTAATTAAATTGGTAATTATAAAATTATAGAAAGACGTATGAAAGACAATTAATCTACACCATTAGACACTACTACACTTACATGTACAATAATACTTTTATACTCCCTGTCGTATTCTCCCACACATACATTACAATTCTCTTTAAACAACTATACTCATGACAGGATATATAAAATAAGCTGCACAATCTCACTCCCAAAAATAACTGTCTTCCTTAGATCAGTACTACAGGGTGCTTGGTGTTTGTTAGAGAGAATGATCTGTGAGAGGAAATAAGATCTATGCCCGGAGCACTACTGTGGCTAAGGGTATAGTTGTGTGTGTATGTGTGGGTGAGTGAGGGCAAATAAGATCAATGCCCCGAGCACTACTGTGGCCAAGGGTATAGTTGAGAGTGAGAGAGAGAGTGTGTGTGTGTGTGTGTGTGTGTGTGTGTGTGTGTGTGTGTGTGTG